TCCTCAAATCACCTGGACATGGAGAGGAGCAGGAGGGACTGAATCTTACATTACAGGAAACAGCACTGATTACAAGACTGAGAGTCTGACTCCTTTCACACAAAGACATGTGTCAACTTTGACCTTTAACCCTTCAGCTGAAAACCACAACACCAATGTGACCTGTAAAGTACACTTCACTGGCAAAATAATGAAAGAAGAGACTTTGGGTTTGAATGTGAACTGTAAGTACATTTATAGTATTAAACTAGCTTTTTTTTTTCTTTTTTCTGAAATCTGTTGAGTTTTGCAGTGTCAGCTGCATTCTTCTAGCAAGAAAGTCAGAAAGTTAGGGAAACTACATGATTGTGTAATTTATATGTTTTGTCTCATAGATATGAAAAAAGTTCAAATCACTGGCATCACAACTGTTAAAGAGGGAGACAATGTGAATCTGACCTGCAGTGTTGAAAGTTTCCCTCCATCTCTGATTTTATGGTCTAAACTTGGTTCTGTCACAAACCTGCACAGTGACACTGGATCAGCCAAACTTGCCATCGAGAATGTGACAACAGAAAATTCTGGACAGTACATCTGTACAGCAACACATCTGGACACAACTATGACTTCTTATGTCAATGTGACTGTGACTTGTAAGTAGGCATTATCGGTTTTTATTAATGCCTTGATGCATGCTCAATCATGCATTGTTCACTGAAGGAACAATGGGCTGGGAGGTCAGTTCCTTGATCAAAAATGCAAATTCTCATTAATTATCAAGGAACTGACCTCCCAGCCCATTGTTCCTTCAGTGGTGCTAGTTTCAGCCATTATGCAAATGTACTGTTTATAAAATTGGGGAAACCTGAAGCCAGCTGAGACTGAAGAAGTCACTTGGATGAGTGATGAAACGTTTCTCCCACTGAAAACGCTACATCCAAATGAACGAAATCAACTTTTGGGGAGTCTTTATTAATCTTGTATTTGACAGCCATTCTAAACTTCTTTTGACATTCTACAGAAACCAATTTGCTGAATTTTGGCACTTTGCTCAGGGAATATATATAATGTTACACATGTAACACATCAACCTACTTTAGCAGCTTTTACTGCAGAACTGCATATTGTGTCTCATCACCATGATCTATGCAGTGTTAATTTCTCCATCTTTAAAAGATTTAAATACACTCCACAGATAAAAGGAAACCTCAGATCATCGGGGATACAACAATCAGGGAGGGAGATGTTCTGAATTTGACCTGCAGTGTTGAAAGTTTCCCTCCATCTCTGGTCATGTGGTCTAAACCTACTTCTAACCCAAGCCGACACAATGAAACCTACACTGACCCGCACAATGACACCGGATCATCTACAGTTGTCATCCCAAATGTGACAGCAGAACAGTCTGGACAGTATATCTGTACAGCAACACATCTGGACACAACTGTGACCTCTTATGTCAATGTGACTGTGACTTGTAAGTAGACATTACCAGTCTCATTAATCTCAAGATATAATAATAATAATAATATTGATTCTTAAAATGAATTAAACATCATGGAGATGAAACATCATTCTTCCTTCTCTGGTGATTTGATGATTAGAGTGGTGAGCACTGGTGGGGGAAATAAAACTAAAACATGCCAACCAGTTAAATACCTGCACAACATTGTACAAATATTAGAATCCCTGACTGTTCTGTGTGGACCAGGTTTCCTTTATTTTCTTATGTTTTTTTTGTGTGTTTGGTTCGTTCTTAATAATTCTTTGAGCTGTTTCCTCTCCTGAATAAAATGCTGGTGTGCTCCACAGACACAAGAAAACCACAGATCATTGGAAACACAACTGTGAATGAGGCAGATGTCCTGAATCTGACCTGCAGTGTTGAAAGTTTCCCTCCATCCCTGGTTGTGTGGTCTAAACTTGGTTCCAACACAAACCTGCACAGTGACACTGGATCAGCCAAACTTGCCATCCTGAATGTGACAACAGAAGATTCTGGACAGTACATCTGTACAGCTAAATATATGAACACTACCCTCAAGGATAAATTCAACATAACAGTGATATGTAAGTACAAAACCTTATGTTTTTGGACAGAATATTTATAGTACTGTTCATTTCTTTCTTCCTATTAGGTAACTGAAATTGTGAATCACAAGGAGAACAAACAATGCAGTCACTATGCAAATGTGCATCTTATTTCTTTCAGTTTAAGGAAGCACAACAATTGTTGCATGTGTATAATTGTATTTCAAGTGCAGCTAGAGTTTGGCACTTTGCTCAGTGAATATACATAATGTTACACATGTCAAACATTAACCTATTTTAGCAGCTTTCACTGCAAAACTGCAGTAGCAGTTTCTCATCACCATGATCTGTGGCAGTGTTAATGTCTCCCTCTTTAAAAGATTTAAATACACTCCACAGATAAAAGGAAACCTCAGATCATCGGGAATACAACAATCAGGGAGGGAGATGTTCTGAATTTGACCTGTAGTGTTGAAAGTTTCCCTCCATCTCTGGTCATGTGGTCTAAACCTACTTCTAACCCAAGCCGACACAATGGAACCTACACTGTCGCGCACAATGACACTGGATCAGCTACACTTGTTATCGCAAATGTAACAACAGAACAGTCTGGACAGTACATCTGTACAGCAACACATCTGGACACAACTGTGACTTCTAATGTCAATGTGACTGTGACTTGTAAGTAGACATCGCCAGTTTTATTAATCTCAAGATGTATGTATATGATATAAAAAGCTAATTGTGGAAAAACAAAATAAAATGTCTTATTATGAGGCTGGAATACTACAGCTACAGTCCATTTTAATATTGATTCTTAAAAAACAATAGAAACATGGCAGCCAGTTAAATGCCTGCACAGCATCACAGAATTATTATTATTGTTCTGTGTGATCAAAGAACATAAGAACTTTATTTTCTTATGTTTTTGTTTGTTTGTTTGTTTGGTTCATTCTTAATAATTCTTTTAGTTGTTTTCTCTCTCCTTATCCTGAATAAAATGCTGGTGTGCTCCACAGATACAAGAAAACCTCAGATCATTGGAAACACAACTGTGAAGGAGGGAGATGTCCTAAATCTGACCTGCAGTGTTGAAAGTTTCCCTCCATCCCTGGTTGTGTGGTCTAAACTTGGTTCCAACACAGACCTGCACAATGACACTGGATCAGCTAAATTTATCATCTCAAATGCAACAGCAGACCATTTTGGACAGTACATCTGTACAACTAACTATATGGACTATTCCTTGAAGGACAAAGTCAATGTAACAGTGATTTGTAAGTACACAACCTTTTGCTATAAGACAGAACATTTATAATGCAGCACAGTTATATTTTCCCCGATCTGGTAACTGAAATTGTGACTGCTAGCATAAAAAATACATAAAGAATAAAATGGAGATGATGTGTACATGTGTTCTTTGTAGGTACAGAGTAACAAAAAACAAACAAATGAAAACACAATGCTATGAAATAATATGCAGAACACAAGGAATATTGTGGGGGAAACAACTTTGCAGAGTTTAGAAAACCACAGCAAATGTTGCACGTGTATGCAAATGACATCTGCAAAAATCAAGATGTATTTTCAATGCTGCTGAAATCTGTTTCACTTTGCACTGTGCATGTAATATTATACACGCAGTGTCAGATCAGTTTGTGAATAATATTATCAGTGCCAGTATCAAAAATCTTATTTCTTTTCTTTTCAAAATCTCATTACAAATTTTCACAGAAGGGTTATCTGCCAGTGTTCCTTTCATGGTGCTTATTTAAGTTACTGAAATGTGCTCTACAGATAAAAGGAAACCTCAGATCATCGGGGATACAACAATCAGGGAGGGAGATGTTCTGAATTTGACCTGCAGTGTTGAAAGTTTCCCTCCATCTCTGATTATGTGGTCTAAACTTGGTTCCAACACAAACCTGCACAATGACACTGGATCAGCCAAACTTGCCATCGAGAATGTGACAACAGAAAATTCTGGACAGTACATCTGTACAGCAACACATCTGGACACAACTATGACTTCTTACGTCAATGTGGCTGTGACTTGTAAGTAAACTTTACCAGTCTCCAGGTGTCTATAATGTATGTACATAATTGTTTTTACGTCATTGGTAGTCAGATATTTTGGTCTTTACGTTTTACTAGCCATAATGACGTGAGGAAATATTTTTTAAAGGATGCAGTATAAATGGTTATCAAATTGCATTACATGAAGATAAAACCTGCTGGTTAAAGTAAAGGAAACATTAAAAACCAAAAAGTGTTGTATTCTCACAGTGGTCCAACACATGTTGTTGTAACAGGCATTGATTCTGCAAGTCTCTTAAAATCTGCTTGAGGGATCAAATATAGTGTATAGTGACTGTAGTGGGGAGCAGTACAGCAGTGATAGGTAAAACCCTGGAATACTGTTGTCACCCTCCATATCTTAAATAAACAACTGAGCTGTGCTCCACAGATACAAGAAAACCTCAGATTACTGGGAACACAATTATGAAGGAGGGAGATGATCTAAATCTGACCTGCAGTGTTGAAAGTTTCCCTCCATCTCTCATTATGTGGTCTAAATTGACTTCTGTCACAAACCTGCACAACGACACTGGATCAGCTACGCTTGTCATCCCTAATGCAACCGCAGAAGATTCTGGACAGTACATCTGTACAGCTAAATATATGAGTAACACTCTAAAAGAGGAAGTCCATGTAACAGTGATATGTATGTATACAACTTTTTGCTTTTACTATATGTTTAAATGTGTGATGCCATCTAAACATCTTTGCATATTGACTATTTAGGCAGATTCTCTTGTTGGTAATCATTAAAAAAAAATCTGTTGTCCCACAGATAAAAGAAAACCTCAGATTATCGGGACTACAACTGTTAAGAAGGGAGATGTTCTGAATTTGACCTGCAGTGCTGAGAGTTTCCCTCCAGCTCTTATCATGTGGAAAAAACGTAGCTCAAACACAAACCTTCTGAGTGGAAATTACACTGACCTGCACAATGGCACTGGATCATCTACAATTGTCATTCATAATGTGACAGCAGAATATTCTGGACAATATGTCTGCACAGCTAAATATCTGGACACAGCCATTACTATACATGCCAGTGTGACCGTGACTTGTAAGTGGAACACAATGATCTTGAATCTGAAGTTTATGTACACCTTCCTTTGTTTTATGATTCTGATCATGTGTTTACAGGGTTTTCAGAGATCCAGGCTGGCTCTGGATGTGTGCTTCAGTCAGAGGTTTTGACCTGTGTGTGTATCAGTGAAGGGTTTCCTTTACCTACCATCAAATGGCCGCTCCTAAAGAACCACACTGAGTATTCTGTCATTATTACGGTCTCTAAACACACAGTCAACAGCACTGTCAGTGTAACTGTAAACAAACATAGCAACAGCACTGTGGAATGTGTGAGTAACAATGGAAATGGAGAGAATAGAGAAAACCTACTGATCCACCAAAACTTGCCTGAAAAACATGGTATGTGTTTTCCATCTAAACACCTTTCACTGCCACTTTCACTTTTTACGTACCACATTTTCTTAATGCAACCTCATTTATAGTTTGTATTTGCTTTATCTAATTCAAAACAACCTGGACCATAATTTTTTATGTTGTTATTTTTTGGAGTGCAGAGCAATCATCTAATTTAAGGGTGGGATACATGAAAGCCATCATTGGCATTTTGGCTGCAGTACTTCTTTCAGCAATCGTTTGCCGTTTTACCAAAAATTGGTACAGGTAAAGCACTTGCTTTTATAATTATTATTAATATTAGTTAGTTAGTTGTTGTTTTTTTTCTGTAGATAAATTTGAACATAAATGTACTTCTCTAAAAACACCCCTTTCTATAGAAAAAATCAGAAGACCTCAAGAAATTCAGATGAGACTTTGGAGATGGAGAAACATCAAGATGATAAACTGGTATTTATGTTCATTTTACTTTTTTTTGGTATGATTTTCTACACAAATGCTCAGAATACTCAAGTGTCCATACTCTTACTATACATTCACATATAAATGTATATATGTGAATGTATATATACATTCACATATATCCTGCTCGAAACTTGGAGCATCCTGCTCCAAGTTTCTACAAAAGAAAAATAAATTTGGTCTGAGTCAAAACACAATTAGTTGGATGTTTTTACATACACAACCTTTATCTTTCTACCTAGTTTAACGCAATTCAGAGAAGTTGGTTTTGTATAATTGTCCTGAAACACAGACTAACTGCACAATGATGTGTTAGAAAAGGAGTACGTTATCATGATGCAATTTTGAAGTAAGTCTGAGAAGCAATGACTCTGTTTAGGCATCAATGCCCTCAAAACACCAAACAGACAGAATACACAGACATTTAGTTGCTGTTTAATCAATGATACTAAAAAAACACAAAAAGAAGTAGGTTAGTATAAGAGTGACAAAAGTGACACAATACTATACACAATAAACACAACCATATGAATGAACAACATAGGTTATTCGTTTTGCCATAAACAGTTGATGAACAGGTCACTGATGTTTAAGCATGAATGTAGCTTCTAAGTTGGTTTACTCAGTGCAAATACCTGCAACATGCTGACAGTTAATTTTTCCCTGTTGAAAAGCAGCAGTGCCAGGAAAGCAGCAAAGAGGCAAGAGAGGACGAAGATGGAGTATGCTGAAATCAAAAAAGCAGTAAAAGCAGAACACGTAGAAGATGCTCGAGAAGGAAAGTGAAATGTTGGAGGCCAAAGAGGAGAAGGAGATGGAGTTGGAGATGAAACATTGTCAACCAGAAAAAGAGGAAGGAGAAGATGTTGTACTCCACTGTGAATGATCCCACTTATTCTACGGTCACTGTGTCTTTTTTCTTTAAATAACCCAAATAAAGTTCTCTGCAGGTAGTTAGACACTTCATTAAGACACTGAAGTGTATATGTAAGATCCCAAGAACCACCTCAATGATCTGTGCCCTAAGATATAATGCGGTTTTCCTTTACATGTTTTATTTGACAAGAATAAATCTATACTTAAAATGTCCATCTAGTCAGAAAAAACAACTTTGTAGGGCTAATATGATTCCTTTTTAAAAATGTTATTTAAGACTTAGCCTTCAGTAAACATCGAGATTTTTTTTATATTACAAAATCTTGACATATATGTTGGTGACAATACAGTGTCCAGACAAAGACCATATACTTAAGATTGTAAGATTGTAAGATTGTAAAAAGAAAAATCAATTAAAAACATTCTAGAAAAGTGTGACCTATACTTTTGGTGGTTTGGGTTGATTTTTAATGGTCTCTGCTCATTTTCATTTATTATTCTTTGTTTGTTTTGCTAACAAAAGAAGACCTTTTTGCTTTCTTTGGCCATTCATTGTGCTCACCAGAAAGTGGCAGAGTAAACCCATTACCCATGTGAAATTATAAGTCAAGTAGATGGTGTGGTCTGTTATCACGGGTGCTGCCTGGCTGCAGATTTTGTATTTTGCCTGGTCTTGTATGACGCATTAATAAAAGTGAGTATAATAAGTGAGTATCTCTAATTCTGCCCAATGCTCTGAATGTTGTATCACAAGCAGGTTTCTATATCATAACATGAAATAGAGCTTTAATTTCAACCTTGAAAATTTCATATTTTCATCATTGTTTAGACACTGGGTTAAAATAAAACTCCCACTCATGGTATCTACAATTGTGAATTATTAACCTCTTAAGCCCCAACGCCCCCTGATACGGGGGCAAAAGGCAGGAGATCAGGTAGGCTTGGGGCTTAAGAGGTTAACACAACAACAACAACAAAAAATCACACTGTAAAGCACATCTTAGCATGATCTGGTCAGATACAGTGTTTCAGATTTGTAATTAAGTTATAGAAATTGATTCATAATCAATAGCAGTACGCTCACACACGAAAAATTAGGGCATTAGAGTACCTTACATTTTTGGCGATACTGGCCCTCTACTTACTTGGTTACAAAATTTTAAAATGTCACACAACATGACAATGAGCAGTTGTTAAAATTGAAAAAATGTGATGCAAAAAGGAAGCAGAGAAAAAAAATCACATTCAAAGCAAAAGTTGTGGCTTACAGCAAAAACCAAGAGGTAATGAATGGTCACCATTTCACACTCTTCACAGTTTCAACACCTCTCAGCAAGTAGAAAGTGTTCACCTATAATTTGGTGTCTTCCATACAAGCTATGGCTGAAGTTGTCAGCCTCTGCTAGCAACCAAAGTAACCACAGTGAGGTTATCAGAGCAGCAATATCTGTGAACAGTTTCACTTAGTGATGGAAATATCAACCATATCAGACAACATGACCCAGAGTCATAAAACTACAGTAAAGCAGGGGGAAAAGCCCCAAGAAGGAAAAGTGATGTTGTGTTACAGTTTTAAGGCAGAGGAGGGTGAGAATGGTAAAATGCAATAAAAAGCTCACCCTGGACTTCCCACTGCGAGCACTTACATGAAACCTTGTATTGGATGAATTTCATCTTGACTGTTGTTCATTTTTCTTAATTTGTATTCTGACATAGCACAATGTTGATAATTTGTTGAGCTGACCCTCTGAAATGAGATAATAGTGTAACTTATATGTTATTATACTAGATGAAACTTTGCACTTTCCTTTCCTTTATTCATACTTTTCATTAGACAACACAGCAGTAGCTGAACATACAAAGATACACTGTCAATTTGAATTGGAATCTTATGGCAAATGGAATGCTTCTCTTGACCACTGCTAATGTATTTATGTGTGGGAATGTCATCTTTATATATTCCATCAATATTTTGTGTTTTAAAGGTTCTATAGTGGCTCCTTTGAAGACCCAGGCTTTTTTTTTCTTGCTCAAGAATCCCAAGGCCAAAGAGGGAACACAAGCATCTGTTGTAGCTGAAACAGAGTTTTATACCAGTTTGGAAAACTGAAACTGAGTTTAATCAAATTCAAATTAAATCAGATTTCTTTTTGGATTTTGATTCATTTGATTTTGGATGACAAGAAAAACACGTTTGCTGTCAGATGTGCTTCAGAGATGAGAGCCAGTTCACCCAGAGCGCATCTGACAGACATGAAAGGGTCTTGAAAAGCCGTGAAGAATGTTATATTGTACCTGTAACATTTTTCAGCGTGTCCGGTTTGGCAGTGGTTTCATGCAGTTAGATTATGCAGGAGGATGAAGGAATTGATACTACTGACACACCCACCAAGCTCTCCTAACCTAAATCCAACAGAACACCGTCGGGACATTACGTTTTGGTCCATCCAATGCCACCAAATTGCACCTCACACTGTCCAGGAAAACAGAGATGCCCTGCTCCAGTTTTGGGAGGACACTCCCCAGCGTCTCATTAGGAGCAAAGCCTGACATGGTCAGGCAAGCATACAAACATGTGAAGTCCATACAAACTACTAAGTACCATTTGAAATTGCTCTAATGAAATTTTGTCAGATTAGCCTGTTGCATAATTTTTTCACTTTGATTTTCGGGTGTCTGTGAATTCAACCCTCCGTAAGTTAAAAATTTTCATTTCCATCAACTGATGTGGCATCCTTTCATTCCTAACACATTACCCTAGGATTACTACGAGTCAAAGACTAGAATTAAAAACTAAAAATTAGGTGTAGATACATAGAAATCTGAGCTTTCCAATGACTGAACAATGGATCTGGCCAGCCAACTAATAAAGCAGTAAAATATTTGTTAGGGCTTCCTCACCCACCCTGTTGAGCCATGACAGCAGCAAGGGCACATCCAGGTAACCTTATTAATTTCCATTTTCATGTGCGACCTAGCACAGCTAATATCGAGGCACAATTAGCAGCACTTAGCTGGGAACTGGCAGGATCGGCCCAAGGCTAGCCTGGGTTCTCCAGCACTTCTGTGTAGCTGCCACGACGACCCACATCCATCGGTCCCTAGAGCAATGTCTTCTGGTGACCTCACATTGTTGGATGATGTTATTGCACATTTCATGGATACTGAAGCGTTTTTCAGAGCAATGTGTGTCCAGCAGAGGGCAGTGTTTAACTAATGACATAAATATTTAGCTATTTATTTTCAAGTCAGATTGTATTATCTGCTGGTATCCACATTTTTTTTGTTTTTATAATTCTAATTGTAGTATTTTTGTGATTTTCTAAAGTGTGCAGTAACAGAGAGAAATTGTACTACAGTGTCTCTTACTTCTAACTGGACAGTATTTTATTCAGGCAGCACCACACCACTTTCAAGACACGCTGTGCAACAGCATAATTCACTAACACTTATATTTGAGATTTTTCTCACTTATAATACAACATGCACATCAGTCAGATATGCATGTTTCTTGGCTTTTTACAGTTGTGAAGTGATTTCTCAACCATTCTGCTGTGCTGAAACTGATTCACAGCTTAACAAATTAATTTAATCTACTTTGCCTTAAAGTTTAAGTTTAGTTTAGTTTCAGTGGTGTTGGATTTTCAGTGGCTCTTTCTGTGTCTTTTAAAACACATCCTGCATTTCTGAAACGAAATGAATGTATAACTTTAATAGAGTATAGAACGAGTGTAGAGTGTAGAAATTTCACTTCACCTGGTAATATTGCAAATGGTGAAAGCCAAAGCAAACCTTAACCTGATGTTTGGAGTGAATTGTTTCTTTAAGTTTGAACCCAAATATTGCCTCTAAATCACAAATTAAGGTGAACAGTGTACTGTGTACATTACAGTGTACAACAGTGGGAATTGTTGACATGCAAATATTTAAGTCAGTGACCGGTTACAACATGGTTTTGCTGTTGCGTCATTAGTAAACATACAGGTTGGCAGTGATAGTCTGACCTTTATGTTAGAAGAGGAAGTACTTAGTGAGTACAGTGATACCATATAAGGTTATGTTTAAGTGATCACAGTGGTAGAGGGAACAAGTATTTAAAGCATGTTCATATTTATAAAAGGCAACATGTTTTCTCTCTGTGGTATGTTTTCTCCTATTGAATTACCATAAAAACATTTATTTATACATATACAGTGCCAAATCACAATAACGGTTTTCTCAAGGCACTTTATATTGTAAGGTAAAACCCTACACTATTACATAAAAAGCCCCAATGATCAGATGACCCCCTGTGGGGAAGTACTTGGTGACAGTGGGACGGGAAAAAAATCCTGTTTAACACCAAGAAATTCTCAGAATCTCATCATCATCATTATCACCTTTATTTATAAAACACTTTAAAACAACCAAACAGGCCAGCACAGAGGTTATATGGTCTCTTTTTCAAGTTCCTGTTTGCAGTTGTGCAGCGGTATTTTGAACCAGCAACTGAATGACCCCCACATAAAGTTACAGTAGTCCAGATTGGAAGAAATAAAAGCATGGATCACTATTTCGAGGTGCTGCCCTTTCACTCTTGCCAGTCGCTTTAAATGATAAAAACTGGACTTCACCACAGCTCTAATTTGGCTGTCCAATTTAAAACCAAGGTCAGTAATAACAGGTTTAAAATAAACTTCCAAGGCTCCCATATCAATAAAGGAGGACTCACAGGGACCACTGAGTCCAAACACTAACACCTCTGTTTTCGTTTCATTAAAATCGAAAAAGTTTAAAGCCAGCCATGCTTTAATGTCATCTAGAGGTTTTATGGTGATGACATCCTTCTGCTTTAGTGACAAATAAATTTGGCAGTCATTGGCATAACAATGAAACGTGATCCCATGCCTTCTAAGGATGGAACCCAGGGGCAATAAATATAATAAAAACAGCAGTGGCTCTAAAATTGAGCCCTGTGAGACAACACATGGCAGAGAAGCAGAAGATGATTCAGAACCAAGAAGGCATCAGATGTGCAGCTAAATTAGAAGCAACTTCCTGATAGCAGAATAAATAGCAATAAACAATTAAATATGTGTGTGTGTGTGTGTGTGTGTGTTGGGTCTATGCGTTGTATGTGTGTGAGAGGTGCTGACGTGTTGGGGAAGGGTGCGTGTGTGTGTTCTGTAGTGTGGTCGCGTATGGAAAGAAACCTACCTGAGGGCAGCAAGTACAACAGGTGGGCTGCAGGATGGGTGGAGTCTCTTGTGATCTCCTCAGCTCTGAGGCAGTGGGATGTAGATGTGAAAGAGGGGAGGGGGCAGTCGATCTTCTACGCTGTGTTGACCGCTGTGGAGTCTCTTCTGTTGAGTCTGGGTACAGCGTGTTTGTGAACCATGCCTAAGTAAATTAATCAATGGTATTTAAATACTTTATCAGCTCCCCTTTATCTCAGGGCACACTAAAGCAGATTGATCAGTATATTTGGTGCAGCCTCCTCCATACAGTGGGGCAAAAAAGTATTTAGTCAGCCACCGATTGTGCAAGTTCCCCCACTTAAAATGATGACAGAGGTCAGTAATTTGCACCAGAGGTACACTTTAACTGTGAGAGACAGAATGTCGAAAAAAAATCCATGAATTCACATGGTAGGATTTGTAAAGAATTTATTCGTAAATCAGGGTGGAAAATAAGTATAAAGTCCGTGTTGCTCGGCGACAGCCCCAAAACATCACTGCTCTTGAGAAGATCTGCATGGAGAAATGGGCCAAAATACCAGCTACTGTGTGTGCAAACCTGGTAAAGACCTATAGTAAACGTTTGACCTCTGTTATTGCCAACAAAGGTTATGTTACAAAGTATTGAGTTGTATTTTTGTTATTGACCAAATACTTATTTTCCACCCTGATTTACGAATAAATTCTTTACAAATCCTACCATGTGAATTCATGGATTTTTTTTTTTTCACATTCTGTCTCTCACAGTTGAAGTGTACCTCTGGTGCAAATTACTGACCTCTGTCATCATTTTAAGTGGGGGAACTTGCACAATCGGTGGCTGACTAAATACTTTTTTGCCCCACTGTATATATGAGCTCAGAACAGGCTGTGCAGGTGATCTGGGAAACTTTTGCATACAAAGATGTATTAATAAGTTTTCCTGAAAAGGCTTGGTATAAAATGTTTACATTTACATTTTTGAAGTATATGCTTCTGAACAGCAGTTGAGCAATGTGATAAAACTACTTGAAACTGCCCACAAAGACAGAGGAAGTACATTAGAGATACTTAAGAAAGAGGAAGTGTTAGTTGAAAGCAGAGACACTCTATAACAAGACACAAGGATGCCCACACAAACACGCATCAACACGGAAACACTGAGAGGGAAGCAGAGGACAGAGACACAAGGACACATAATAAACAAGAATCTAAACAGGGAATAGAAGAAACTCAAAACTGACCAACTTTGAACTACTAATGAACCTAAAACTTAAACCATTATATAAAATATCACTAAACCTCAAAAAGCTGGGTCAAAAGGATCCAGGACCATGTCACATATATCATCACCCATGAACTAACTTCACAGCTGGTCAGAGGTTTCTGTGCTGATATGCTTTTTGAGTCAGAGTAAGTTGTTTGGCCTTGGTGGAGAAGATTTGGCAAGTTTTTCATAGATACAATCTATACACTCAACGCTGCTGCTCAGCATACAAATGTGTGGGGTACAAAACAAAACAGGCTTTTTGACTATATAAAATTTCCTGCCAAAAAGGATTGTTACAACAAAGAAATAACTGACCCAACACAAATATTCTCATTTTTTGTACCCAAATTTAAGTGGCTGATAAACACAAATACACAGCTCGCTTAACGGTTATCATAATCATAATACCATAACCAGTACAACTTGTAAAAGGTGCTAAATAATACCTAAGAAACATGAAATACAAAAGCCAAAACCATAACAAAGAATCAAAACAAAGAGTAAACAAAACCTAACCACAGAGGCATCTGACACACACACAAAAAACTGTTACACTGATCTTTGTTTAAATGGTTAAAAATAATTTTCACAAATACAAAGTACCCACCAATGCATTAATATAGCAATGTTAAAATACGATTGCATAGCAATTACTAAGAAAAGCAGAAATGCTGCACAATATAAATGGATACAAATGAAGCTTTAAAGAGCTCTTGCCCTTTAAAGCATTCAATCTGTCTCAAGGAACATTTTTTGACTACATAAGAAACACTTATAAAGATATAATGATTTTAGATATGTTGTATGATGTTGAATGTGATGTAAAGACAAGCTAAATGCAATATACAGATCAAGTTTTCACTCTAATATTGTGGGGTCTTTACTTGACAGTGGAAAGGGCCATGAGGTGAATATATAAAACTTATTGGAGCACCATTACTTGAATATCAAAATCTCAAGATAAGAGTATGTTTTAAAAGGGTAAATTATTTAATAAATAATGAACATATAGCATACAGAAAAACTTGAATGTCAGTCTGTAAAGTTGAGTGGTTTACTGAGAAACTTCCTGAAATGTTGTTGCAAGAAGGAGGAAGAAGACAAACAAAAGAGAGACGAGGCGAGAATGAAAAACTTCAGTTTAGAGAGTGAGCAGACATCAATGAGAAGACAAGTTTGAAGAATAAAGTAAAACACGGAAAAATGTGTTAAATGTGCTTAAAAATATCTTTTTAAAAGAATGAATATAAAGACTTCACATCTGTAACAGTGATTGTGAATAAGACCTCATCTGGTCGGCTCTGTTTGTCTCTGTAAAAGGCAGCATTGCTGACACAGGTTTGTATCTTCTCCTTTCCTGTAATTCTGCTATATTTGTATTTGTATTTATTTTAATATTTGCATGTGAGATAGATGAATTCATCATAAATGTGTGTTTTCACTATCATGAGTTGGCTTGTGTGCCATTTTAAATTAATCTTTTGTTATATTGTTAATCATTATCCAGGAATATTTTATAGCCTGGATATAACCATAGTAGTTGTGTAGACTACAACACAAACAAGCAGCTTGTGTAAAACATAAAAGTTACTCTAATATCTTTAATTAGATATCATGTTTATTGTTGAAAACTAAATAGTTTTTCTCACTATATTTACCTTTCCCTTTGCATTAACAGGTGGACAACAAGTCTGTAGAGACAGAGGTACTGTGTTACTCTCACAGACATCATGATGACTTTTTACTATGCCTTCCTGGAAAGCATCATGACCTTCTCCACTCCCTCAGCCTTCAGAACAGGAACAGACTGCAGCACACTCCATCAGTGTGCTCTAAAATCATTGGACTGCCTGTCAGAACTCTGGCACAGGTTTTCAGCCAACACGCCCTTAGACAGGCAGCCAAAATCATCAACGACCACTCTCACATTCTTCACCCAACATCTGCGGCTGCATTTCCTGCAGGACTGAGAGAGGGAGAGCCACCTTTGTCCTCAAAGCCATTCTGCTCCAGCCGATAAAAACATTTCCCACACCAGAAATATAAACTACATTCTTCTTACACTACTGACACTTTATTCACTTTTAGTCACTTGCGGTTATTTATTCACCTTCAGTCACTTTAATTTTAAAACTGTGTAATTTTAAAACTGTATATTCGGTGTATTTATTATTTCACTCCTATTGCCTGTTCTTATTGTCCTTATCTTCCACGTATGCTGCTCAGTTGTTTGTTAATTGCCCCTTGGAGATAAATAAAGTCTCCTGATCCCGATTCTGATTCTGATATGAATATATAAAACTTGTTGGAGCATCATTATTGGAATGTTAAAATAAGATAACATTATGTTTTAAAAAGGTAAATTATTTAATAAACAATGTTATAATTACATATAGCATACAGAGGAACTTGAATGTCAGTCTGTAAAGTTGAGTGGTTTACTGAGAAACTTCCTGAAATCATTTTGCAAGAAGGAGGAAGAAAAAAAAAAGAGAGATGAGGATGACAAACTTCAGTTTAGAGAGTCACCAGTCATCAGTGAGAAGAGAAGTTTTGAAGAACAAAGCAAAACAGGTAAAAAAATTTTTTTAATGTGGCTCAAAAAAGCTTTTAAAAGAAGAAATGTAAAGACTTTTTCACCTCTGTAGCAGTGATGGTGAGTAAGACCATTATTTATTAATCAAATATTATGAGTGACCTAATGCTGTCCTCTTATTTGGCATTTAATATACATTTATATTCTATTATATATATTATACATCTTTTATTGAGCTGTGTGATGTGAACTGTTGGCTTTTTCTTTATTTTATTTTTTGTTATGATTTCTTTTTGCTTCATCTGCTGGATAAGTTATTCTGTGGAGGGAGAGACTGAACGTCTCGAGCATCGAACATGTTTGTTCTCATCTGGTCGGCTTTGTTTGTCTCTGTAAAAGGCAGCATTGCTGACACAGGTTTGTATCTTCTCCTTTACTGCAATTCTGCTATATTTGTATTTTAATTTTTTTATATTTGTATGCAAAACTCTTTTTCTGAAATTTGTCCAGATAATAAGAATTTATTATTACCCACAGTTCATCATAAATTTGTGCCTTTGCTATCATCTGTTGGCTTGTGTCCCATTTTAATTTAATCTTTTGTTAAACATGTCTTGAGATATTGCCTGGATATAATAGCAAAATTACAATGTAATTTTAATTAAAATGTAAAACACAGTAGTTGTGTAGGCTACAGCACAAACAAGAAGATTGTGAAAACATAAAAGTTACTGTGGTATCTTTAATTACACATGTTTATTGTTGTAAACTAAATATTCTTTATCACTATATTTATCTTTCCCTTTGCATTAACAGGTGCTTCAGCCTGGGGACAACAACACTGTGATAGAAGATACTGTGTTACTCTGAGTGAGCGACTAACAGCAGAGGCTGGACTCTGTGTTGTGATCCCGTGTTCTTTCACTACTGCTGATGAGTTTACACCCAAACATATAGTTTGGTACAAATGTGAAGGATCTCAAATATGTCGCAGTGATGCTGACATAATATTTCACAGCAACATAAG